TGAGTCTAAAAGGTTAATGTTCATCTTAGCTTAAGTAGTGTGTCAGTTTCAGATTAACGAAGTACAGTTTTTTAATTTGTTCTTGAAATTGAGAAATATATTTTTCATATGCTGTCCAACCTTAAAATCAAATGAAAGCTATCCGGAAAAGACGTCGTTGTTAACATCATCGTCATCAGAAGCTGGAAGAATTGCTCTGAAGTCGTTTAATCTAATGCCGTTGTCTAGCAACATATCAATATTATTGGTAAGGATATGCAGATGAACACAGGGGCGTCATAATGACAGATGGCCGCCCCACCTTTGACATGCTCCATAGAGGAACAGCGCAATTTTCGTCTACTTAACATAACAGTCTGCACTCAGAAAAGAATAGGCAAAATAGGTAAAAATTAATCAGTTTCTATTTTCATTGCACATTGTGCAATTAGAGTTTTCAACATTTCTATCAGCAATCAATGTGTAGTGTGAATCAAACAAGCCGGCAGTCTTTACTACCCAGAAACGCCTTAGTATCTGTTTTTAAGATGGCTCTAATTGAGAATGAAGTTTTTTAAGAATAGTCCGCAATAGTAAAGTCATTTCAAATCGTCTCCTCTTGCTTTCTCTCTCTCTCTCCACCTCCCCCCTCTCTCTCTCTCTCTCTCTCTCTCTCTCTCTCTCTCTCTCTCTCTCTGTGTGTGTGTGTCTCAACCGCTTTCTTTCTTTCTCTGCGACGTTTTCTTTCCAACCGACTGTAATGACATGTTTTAGCCCCCCCCCCCCCCCCCCCCCCCCCCCCCCCCCCCCCCCATTTTTTTTTCTCTCATCGCCATATAATGGGGATTGTTTCATTCTTATGCGGATAAAACTAATCATTTTAAAAAAAATCTTTAATGTATCTTTAAAACATGAAATCAACATTAGTGATACACATCTAATTTACCGTACTGTAAACCTCCAAGCTTACATTACCTGCATAGTCATATTTAAACTCTGCATCAACAAGTATGTCGTAAGAGACGGCTAACCATGGGTTTTATTTAGGATTGGTTAAGTCCATAACTTAAAAATCTTCATTTCCACGGTAGAGCAGCGAATTAGCATGTCTGAGACTTTACATGAGTTAGCCAATGACATATACCCCAGGAAGGATGATGGTAATTATCATCATCGACATCATCCACTGTTGTCTTTAAGCGACATCGGGTGAACCAGTTTGCGGTTCATTACTTGATAGGTAGCAATGACGTTTGTATTTCCGTGTCGACGTAGGTTTTTAATGTCATGAGTCCTTTTACTACCCTGGTGGTCTCTTGATTTCATGTCAGATCTTTTCGTGTTTAGCGGCTGTGTTGGTAGTTGTTCCAGCTCATTCTAACGAGATGACCAAATCATCTGATCTTGTCTTTCTCGATGAAACTGGTGCATGATGTTGTTCCCACAGTTCCATATGATCATTTCTTACTTTGTATTGGATGGTTAAACTGGCGGCTTTCTTCGGTATCTCATTTCATGGGAAGGTTAGCCTCGATAATTGTCGAGCAATAACAGATATCAAAGGTTAAAACACTGCAGCTGCGGGGACAACCTCCTATGATCTCTGCAAAACCTCTACTTGTGAACGAAATGTGGCAGCCGTGAACAAACCCGCGACTTTCAGAGTGCAAGAAAAACGTCTTGACCACGTCATCATGGAGATCACCTCTATAGAACAGATCAACCTTATACCGATTTGCAAATAAATTCCCTACTGGTAAAGTAAAAGTAAAGTACCATTTTCCACACCTTTAGGCGTATCGGGCATATAGGGTTAGACCTATATTTTATAGACCAATCGGCACAAGATAGGTAATGTGGTCAGCATTACGCCGGCCGCCTCTATTTCCCAAGACTGCACCCGGTACCCACTCCTGGCTGGGTCGACCTGGGAGCCAAGGTCATTTTCGCCATTTAGCAAACATACGGCATCCGATCCGTGGCGAGCGTCTAGCCGCTCCACCAGGGCGACTCCGAAATTCCCTACTGGTTTGTAAATAATTTCCCAAACGGTTTTTAAATAAATTCCCTACAGGTTGCTACGTTTTGTAGAATCATCCTTATGTGAACTGACTGATGTTTAAAAACATGTTTTAAACTTCACAGATCCAGCGAACGACCTGGTAGTACTAAATGATAGTTAGGATACCGGCAGTGCTGAGAGGTAGTGACGCGGACCAGACATTTCAGCGTGCAGTATATATTTTCATTTAATTCCATAGTTTCAAAAATGAAGAAAATGAAATTTGAAACAGCTGTGTAAAATTAAATATCCAATTCAAGACCAGACTAGAGACAAGGCCGGTAATATTAAATTATAATTATTGTAATTAAAGATGTCACATTGGAATTAGAATTCCCTGCACGCGCAAGAGTCCACTGTATTGAAAGTAATACTATTCTACGATCGATGGTTAGAAAGAGCGGTAATTTACGCAACACAATGACAAATAATATTGACTTTTAGAGTACATGGGGAAAAAGTAAACATTTATTATGCCTTATAAATTTGATATAATGTTTAATAAGTTCTATCTGATATATACTTTTAAATAACCAAAAACGCACTCTTGACTGTAAATTATGAAGACATTTTCTTGGAACTTTAGATGGTGTTGGGACGTTGCTTTGTACTCAAAGAGTTCAGAAACCAAAATTCTTCTGTGCTATCTAGAGATAGTTTTAACTGTTTCAGATGTGAAATCTCGTCTGAAAGGAATTCGTTTTATTTTTGTGCCAGGACACTTTGGGGTAAGAGGGAACGAACGAGCGGACTGGCTTGCTGACAGGGCCACAGTAGGAAAAGCAGTGGACATTGTCAATGCTCTCAGTGAGGCAGGGCGAGAAGATTATTCAGAAGGCGACAATGAATCGGCAACACTCAAAAGACTACAATAACTTATGAATCGGCAACACTCAAAAGACTACAATAACGTATGAATCGGCAACATTCAAAAGACTACAATAACTTGTGAATCGGCAACATTCAAAAGACTACAATAACTTATGAATCGGCAACACTCAAAAGACTACAATAACTTATGAATCGGCAACACTCAAAAGACTACAATAACTTATGAATCGGCAACATTCAAAAGACTACAATAACTTATGAATCGGCAACATTCAAAAGACTACAATAACGTATGAATCGGCAACACTCAAAAGACTACAATAACTTATGAATCGGCAACATTCAAAAGACTACAATAACTTATGAATCGGCAACACTCAAAAGACTACAATAACTTATGAATCGGCAACACTCAAAAGACTACAATAACTTATGAATCGGCAACATTCAAAAGACTACAATAACGTATGAATCGGCAACACTCAAAAGACTACAATAACTTATGAATCGGCAACACTCAAAAGACTACAATAACTTATGAATCGGCAACACTCAAAAGACTACAATAACTTATGAATCGGCAACATTCAAAAGACTACAATAACGTATGAATCGGCAACACTCAAAAGACTACAATAACTTATGAATCGGCAACACTCAAAAGACTACAATAACTTATGAATCGGCAACATTCAAAAGACTACAATAACGTATGAATCGGTAACACTCAAAAGACTACAATAACTTATGAATTGGCAACACTCAAAAGACTACAATAACTTATGAATCGGCAACATTCAAAAGACTACAATAACTTCAGGTTAAAAGAGGTGTCGCCAAACATGAACACCATACAGGTAACCAAAGAAGAAAAGTAAATTTACTAAGAACGGATATTATCAATCGCCACACGCTTAAGGATATACTGAAGATGGGATCCGAGCGCTTATGGGCTTGTCCGGTGTGCCATGAAGATAATCTTTCCATTAACTAACCAGCCGTGAACCCTGGACAATTCGTAAACAAATCAAACAATTTCTTGAGTTCTTGGAGATGTTGGAACGTGTCACTAATGCGAAAGATTCTAGAAAGAGAGACAGAGGAAGTCGATTCTGGACTGTCTATTTTTCATGAGCAGCGTCCGTGGCTTAGTTATTGCGAGTCCGACTCGTAATTCCAACGTACCACGATTGAAACCCACTGCTGACTGCGGGGATTTGTATCATGGTATGGGGCGTCACAGGTCGACCCAGCCTAAAATGGGTGCCAGAACGTTTGTCTTGGGAAGTAAAGACGGCAGGCGTAATGCTGACCACATTACCCCGCTAGTGCTGATTGGTGTGAAACATATGAGTGCTTTCCCCATATGCCCGATGTACCTAAAGGCGTGAAAAGGGATCTTTACTTTTACTTTTTACTAGGGCTGTACCGAATATTCGCTTTGTATTCGCTTCGGGGCCGAATAGTGGACATAATGACTATTCGGTATTCGGCCGAATAGTTGCGGTCGGGCCGAATACGAATAGTGGTTACATTACACTCATTTCTGCATACACTGCGATTGACTGAAATAATTCTCTCATTAACACAATAGTTGCTGTTGCCTAAGTTTGTAGTAGCGGGGGAAACTGCGACCCGGTTGCGTGGTACAGCAGCTGGCAAGGTCTTGCCTGCTGACTCTACCGAGGCATTGCAGCAAAGGTTCTCAAACTGGGTGCATATGCCAGGGGTGCAGGGCGAAAATCAAGAAAAGTCGGCTATAAATTGTAACATTATTAAAGAAGACATAAAGATACTTGGGATACTTTCCTCACCACTGTCGAAAAGAGCTCAGGCGACATGCAATTACTGCATTTTATAAAATGAAGAACATCTTGTGCAATATATCTTTGCCATTGAAGGTTATAAAAATAATTCTTGCTTGCTACTATTTGTCTTCTATTTTTCTAGTTTTAACATATGGTTGTAAGTCCTGGACAATCGGTAGGCAGGTCAAACAATTTATCTAGGCTTCAGAGATGTAGTTTTTTTTTTTTTTTTTTTGACAGCCAAAAAAAAAAAAAAAAACCAATAGGTTTTGAAAGAGGCGGGAGCCCGAAGACAACTAATCACAGACATCAGAAGGAGA